TGTTAATAATAAAGTGAATTCCTGACCCCGGCTGAACTGCAGTTAATGAAAGACCCATGCCAAGGGCTGCAGAAGTTACTGCTGATTCCCCTCAGTTCTGCCTCTGCCTTAGCGAAATGACTCTGACGGCAAGCAAAACCCTTCAGCAGTTTTCCGTGAGCAGGGATCCCTGGTGTGCTCCTCGGCACCGGGCGTCCCTGGCTCCGGGAAGCCCATTCTGTTTGTGCCTCTGAACACAGTTAAAGAACCTGTTTCAAGTTACAGCGTTATTTACTCGGATATTGCGTGACAGCTCAGTTGAAGAAAATGTGAGGAGTAGTCCACTGTGCTATTCTTGAATTAAAGATAATTGGGAATTTCCTGTGGCGCTGGTGTGGTGGCATTTGGCTTTCCGTTCAGATTGCCCTCCTTACCCTGAGCGACAGTGAATGGTCAAAATAGGGTGTTTAGCACCATTTGTAAAACTATAAATGCCTGGGTGCTTTTATATTTGGGATTTCCAAGCTACCGTTGCATGGTGGGTTTTGGTTGTAGAACATGCTTCCCTTGCAGCTCTATGCAGCTGTTTGATCTGCTTAGTTCTTGTAAGGCGGTGTGCTTGGAACGGCATCTGCTGTTCACTCGGAATTACTCTCTCAAAATCTGGTAAAGTTGGGTCACTTTGTGCTTCTCCCTTGAGCTTATAAAACATTGTTTTGTTTTGCTTTGTTTCTGGAAATGGGTATTACTTGAATCTTGTGTTCAGTGCAAACACCGCTGCCTACAGCTCTTCGTTTTTGCTATTCATAGGCAAAAACTCTCTACTGCTAAGCTTTTGCGCTTCAACCAGCCTAATGAATACTTCCGCAATTTCATGACCATTTTCTGCAGCACAGGCAACGTTTTTTCCATGAGGATTTCTGTACTACGACTTCCAAGTTTGTGGGCAGTTGTGCCTCTACTGCTTTCTGCCTATAAACGCGTTCATAAAACTGTTCCTAATTGCCAGCATTTCTTTTTTCAGTTTGAGCAGTGTTGTGTTTCAGGGGGAGCTTTGAAAGAGCATATGCTGGAAATTTTGCGGTGAAGCGAGCGAGCTCAGTGCACATGAATTTGTATCTTCTGAAACTGTTGGCTATTTCTTTTAAAACATTATGGAACTTTAATTTCTAAACACCTATTTAGTTCCCTAATGCACTAGTCACTCAAGTACTATTCTGTCCTTTCTAACATCTGTTTTGTTTCTTCTGTTTTACTACTTTTCAGTGTCAACAATCAATTTGCCTAGTGTCCTTGTTTTATAAATATATCAACATCTTCAAAAATATTTTTGCCAATTATTATTCAGTCCTGTTTTTCATCTAGTCGGATGTTTTTGCAATTACTCAGTTGAGACATGTCTTTATGGTTTGTTCTGAGTTGGGTTTTGCGAAACGACGTATTGCGTGGCCAGCATATCGCTGCTTACGCTGGTGATTGCGTGGTGGTGCAGTGGATCATGTTCTTGTCTTGAAAGCTGGACGATACGGCTTTTAATTTAGCGGTTTCATGCTCTCTGTTTACTACCAGGCTCACTTGTGGGGGAGAGGTCGTCTTTACCAGTTCAGTCACTGGAGGAAATGGCTGGTTATTAATGCAGCTAGTCAAAACCTCCCCTTGGAAAATGCTGTTTTAACTGAAAATATTTGTGCAGAAATGTATCTATTCCATCAGATTTTTAATGGAAAAATTGAAACATTTCACTTCTGATACGGCTCACTTTGACTTTCCAGTTTCATTTAATTATAATAATGAAATATTTTCACTTTAAGGAATTAAATGTGTTTGATTATTTCATTTCATGAAGAAAGCTCTCAGAATTTCCCACGAAAGGAAGAGTTGCACTTTTGACTAACTTCTGTATGTCACAAGAAATAATTTGTCATTTAAGGATATGACCTGTTCGTTCTGTCTGCCATGCTCCTAACGGTTTCACTATGACCAGACAGGTTTTGCCAGACTGAAGGACTTGAAGGGAAATTCTTCTCTTTTGATGTTATGGATTAAAATTGTAGTATAAGAATATTTGTGATGATAACCTTCATTTCCTGGCCCTTTTGCAGTTAGAAAAGGTGAAAAACGATCATGACCGTTCTCGGGTCATACTACATCCATTGTGGTAGTTACAGGTTAACCCTCTGGTTTCAGTTTTGAGACTGAACAAACTTGAGGAATTTTAATTCCTAATCTGAGTCCAAAGTGTCAAAACTAGTACATAACGTGATACTAAGGCAGATGCAGTTTGCACCGAAAAATCAATCGGTGGGTGGCGTCTGGCCGTGCAAATAAGGGAGGAAGACTTTGTCGCAGGAAGCTGCTGCCTCTTTCGGTCAATGAATCTGCCCAGGGTGAATCACCTTGAGGATTTCGGCAGGCGTTACACTTTGGCTACTGTAAGCAGTGGCACACAGCAGACCGTAGTACCAGCACGGCTACGACCAACATTGCTAACGTTAAAAACTCCTGCGCTCAGCGTTTTATTTAGTCGCTCAGACTCCTTCTGGCCAGAGGTCTCGCTTGGCAGCAGACAAAATACTGAGTGGCGGCAGGGCAGGCGCCAAGCGGCACTCGCTCCCCGCCACTGCCGCAAGCGTTTTCCCTTCCCTTCCCCTTTCCGTGAAGAGCTGTAGAGCTCAGGTGTTCCATGATGCGCTGTGAAAGCTTTCACTGCCAGGGCACCACTTTGAATGCAGCCTAGACCAAAGTGTCTTTGAAAAACCCGTTAATATCCAGGGTTTTTCCAGGGGTTGAGGTTCACAATGCAGTGGCTGGCATCCCGCTCCTGCTGGACAGCAGTCCAGCTTCCAAAACATCGCCTTTGGCAGATGTTAAGGAATACATAGTTCACGGAGCCCGAGCCATCATCTGTCACCTAAATGTTCGCTTTTATGTCAAAATATTTACATTGGCAATGTACTGCAGGAAAGCGCCGGTAGAGAAATCAGGACTTGAGTCTCCAGAGTGAATGGCATGGCACCTTTCAAAATAGCTTTATGAATGTAAAAAAAATCAAATCTTTTTTCACCCGTTTTTGATTATTTTTTGTAATACCCATAAATTGGCTGAAAAATCTGTTTGAGAAGTCTAATCCATTTTACTTTTTAAATCAGAGAGGCATGAGGAAGGCTAAATAAAAATGATGCGTTTCTCTGAGTTGTGATCGTGTTTAGTTTGTGGATTTAGCACATAGGTGAGGGGGTTGTGTGAATTTGTCTTACCAGTCAGAGTTAAATTGGCTTGGGTTTAAGTCCCCCAGCCAATAATAACTACCCAGGAAAATCTGTGGGCTAAAGCCTTGCAACAGATCATGCCTACCTTACATAATCTCACTGACAGGAACAGGATCATTTGAAAATGAAGACTCTTTCTCTTCAGTGTGGTCACCCCGAGGGAGCGGTGGTTTCTGCCGTGTGTGGAGATGTGCGGAGGAAAGTATATTGCACCGTATTCCTTAACGGCAGGCTTACCTTTTGAGGGCTTTATATACAGTTGGGCGTCTTCGATCCGATAGCGGTCGAGTGCAGCATGTAAGACAAGACAGACATAGTATTTCCCTGGATTGGTCTCCCAGCCTCCAACCACTCTCAGCTTTGGGGCCTTCTCAGCCATGAATTGTTTTTACCTATTGAGTAAATTTCAGTGAATTTCTTTTCCATGAACTTGTCCAAAAGTGACTTGAATACATGGAAGCTGGGGGAAACCATAACTTCCTACGGTGAGGAGCTCCACAGCTCAACTTCTACCCGTTGTGTGAAGAACCACCGACTTTTTGATGTGTAGGTGTGAGGGCGTGTTAATTCCCTGTAGGTGGAGTTGTTTTTGAAGACTTACTTCCAGAAGCAGAATAATGCCACAGATGGACTTCGGAACACTAGTAGAGCATGCTTGGTTTCTGTGGGGAATAGACCTCTTTGCCAGGTCTGAGCTTTTCTTAAAATTATGTGTTAAGATCTGAATTTTCAAAAAATCTTCAACAGATGCAGGCTTGCCGCTGTTTCGGAGCGCTATAAATACAGACTTGAATTAGCTTTAGGAAAGTTAAACCTCAAAATTAGAAGAGAATAGGCAAAGGCTGAAACTATGCCATACTATATCTCTAACTGATGAAAAGGTTGGTTTGAGGAAGGCAAGGGAAATACTCCCTTTTCTCTTACATCCTGCTTTTCTTTTTTGTGAAATTATGACCTAAGGCGAGATGGCAAAACTGAGCTTGGAAGTCAGCATCTACCAGTAGGAGCCAAGGGACAGGGTTCTTCAGTTGTTCGACTGAGTTTCAGATCAGAACAAAGATTTGCATAGTGAAAACAAACTAGAATCTGCTTGGTCTGTGTTCAAGACAATACAAGACTCATAGTTAAAAACTATATTTTAACAGTAACTCTTTCTTTAAACATGAAACATTTAATGTGAATTTCTTAAAACCAAATGTATTGCCAACTCAGGTTCTTGATAAGTTAGTCCTGTGAATCTGAAGAATCGATCTTTTGTGACGGATCTTTTGTTTCTTTTTCCCTTTTAGAAATGTGCAACAGAAGAATGTTTCTTTTTTGAGCGTTTGGAATCTAATAACTATAACACTTACCGATCACGGAAATACTCCGATTGGTATGTGGCACTGAAAAGAACTGGACAGTACAAACCCGGACCAAAAACTGGACCTGGACAGAAAGCTATCCTTTTTCTTCCCATGTCTGCCAAGAGCTGATTTCCACGGCGGATTCCGAGCACAGGTGCCGCACTACACTAAAGACATCGAGTTTCCTACTCCTCTCCGAAGTAGCAAAAATATAAGCAGTTATTTGCTGATACTAACTACTTTTGCAGATACCAGATTAAAACATGAGTGTTTCATACTGTCTTTATATTGCTTTTTAAACCTGTTGTGCCAGCGTGTGTGCAGGTAAAATTACTTGGAAAATATATTTTCAGCATCAGTAACACTTCTGTTTTCTGCTAGGTACCTACGTAGAGCGATTTTATTTACCTTATGTTTGCTTTACAGAGTAAGGGAAGACAAATCTGATGCACATTTATAGCAATATTTACCTTTAAAAATAATTTATGTCTCTATAGCTTAATTAGAGAATAAATAATTACTTTCTAATAATTACCTAAAAAGAAGTCCACGGATAACTTTAATATGGTCTAAATAACGCTACAGTAATAATTCTAAATTATTAATATAATGAAATGTGAAATGTATTGCTATCATGTAATGTTTCTATAGGACTCGGGCAGCTCCCTGTGGTATAGTTTGTAGAACAGGCCTGTGTAGACAGCTGGAAACTCTCTCATGGTAATATCAATCTTATCAAACCCTTCCTGGTATCCGTAAAGTAAGAGTTTAGCTACGCTGCGGGTGATGGGAGTAGCGTGTTTTGTCCTAGCAAGCTCGTCGAGGTCCATCCATTCGCACCTCAGGCACTCCTGCTGGCAGAAGCTGATGTTGAAGGAGGAGGGCTCCAGGCGGCAGATGATGTACATATCCGACTTGCCGAAGGCTCCGGGGTGGTTGTGTTGCTGTCTTACGCTTAGGATGGACTTGAACTCTGACTTAATGCCAGTCTCTTCGAAAACCTCTCGAACTGCTGTGTCTCCTAGGTGAAAAGAGCAATCCTTAGCATACGTATAAGAATAGCTTAACCCTCTTTAAACCTTTTGATCGTGGAACGTTCCTAACCCGAAGCGTTCTCTCTTCTGCTTCATAAGCTTTTCAGAACGTAAGCCTGCTTGTTTCGACACAAGGTTAAGCTCGGTTTTTGGTCCCTGAACAAAACCAATTGCTACATGCCTCTCTTGCGTATACCCTACAACATGATGAAAATAAGAAACTTTCGATAATACTGTACAGGGTGTGGTTTTGAAACGGACATCCAGATGGGCACTGGCTCCACTCATCTGACCCGAGCCAGCCCTGCACCCTCGTTGCAGTCCTTTGAACCTTAGCCCCCGTCTCTCTCCTTGCCTCTACCCAGTTTCAGGTTCAGACCCTGTGCAGCTGAACACCTGGACGTATGTCAGATCACTTGATCCAGATCGCTTAGTTTCACTGCACTTTGCCACAAGGTCTAACAAAAGGGGTACAACTGTTGTTTGCAGAAAGTGAAAGTTGGCACGAAGTCCTTTTCAAAATGGATCTTAAGCGTCTAGTGACGTTCCAAATATGCCGTAATACCAGCACAGCACGTAGCCTGTTCTTGCAGAAAACACGCTGCGTCCGTGCTGCACGTGTACATTTTGTGCACGTCGACCAAAGCGATTTAAGCGTTAACATTCCTCATGACAAAAGCAGCCGTAACTCAAGGGTCGGGGGTGGGTCTGTGTGCTGCAATTACAGCCAGAGAATTACCCATCTAGCCAGTGCTCTTCAAAAGAGATTTTTCTCTCGAATAATAACTTAAATTGAAGAGCCCCAATGAGATTTTTGGTACTCCACGTATTTCCCCAAATTCTGCAGTTCTGTAGCAGTCAAGTCAAATCCTACTTGCCTGGGATAACTACTGGTAGGTAAAATACTAGCTTTTTCCAAATCTATGTAAACTCATAGTTGTGTCTTGTTTGAGTGGTAAATGCATATAGCTGTTTTGCGAGGTTACCTGCTTCAGTTAGTTCATTTTCAGTAAGAAAGGAGTGTGTTGGCTTACTGCCAAAAGCAAAATACATTTTACAAGGCTTTATAGAGATCTGCCTTCCTACGGAAGCTTGCATCTTGACACGTCAGAGGTGAACAAGGCAGACATTTGAGAGGTAGTTAAAACCAAAACGATTTATCCAGCAGAGGCCAAACAAGTGTACGTTAATGGCCCTGATTCTGCACGTACTTCTGCCTCAGCTCAACTTCCATCTTGCAATGGAACGAGCTGTGTGACGTTTACACCAAGTACATAGAGATCTTTGTGGGATGGAGACCCATTAATACACGGTGCCTGCGGAACATTCCTGTTTGTGACTTTCTTACGGTATTAATTAGTTAAAAGGCTGCTGCATGTGGGGAAGAAGTACATGGGGGAAGATACTCGTTTACCATTCCTGACCCTTGGAGAGCCTGCATTTGGTGTTGCCCAGAGAGGTCCTCTGGCTTAAAATAGCGGTTGCAAAGCAGACTCCCTGTGGCAAGGGGTTTTATTATTAGGCAAGGGGCTGTATTACACAAAAGTGGTCAAAAAAGGTAGACAACTAAGATCGTGAGGAATGCTGAGGCAGGCTATGGTAAGAAGAATGAAACAATTAGGGATTTCATTTAAGCTTTGAGCTTTGCTTTTAGATAATGTGCCTTTTTGTGTTTCCCTTTTATTTAAATGTGTGTATATATATTAAAAAAAATATCATGACAGTTAAACTAGAGGAAACACTAGGGCTTGGGTTTCAGAAGTATTCAAATACAAAAATGTGTGCACTTTGCTTAGTCTGCATTATGAAACTATTCCAATTACTTGCGCAAGTCAGTTTGTACTCATTAAAGTAGGCAGCCGTATATTTTGTCACTTCATATAATCACAGGATCTTCAAGCATTGTAATTGCAATTTCTAACTGTAATTTGAAATATAGTCCCTGGAATGACTGTGAGTTTATAAGGTTTGACGTAAGGATAAAAGAAGTAAAATTAAGCTCTATTATATTTTATGCTTCACTAATTTATATCTTCTTGTAATATTAAGATGTGATGCAGAGAATCATAACTTTTATTATTACATAGTTTAGTAGTGACAGGAGGGGAGCTGTAAGAGACTTGTTTCCTCCCAGGTGTTTCTCAATTCCTACATCCAGGCTCCAGCCCAAATCTCACCTGTTACCTGAGGGATGGCCACTGGCTTACTCAGTATTCCTCTGGGAAAGCTGCTGCCAGTGCTGGTCTTTCTTTTCCCTCAGTACAAAAATCCCTCTGGTATCTCCTAGAAGTGAAAGGGAGCCTGGCTTGACAACAAACACGGTGTTTGGGATTCTTCTGAAAACATGAATCCATTTCACGATGTTACATGTATTTGCATTGTCAGGCAAATAATTTTGATTTCTATCACCGTGTTTGACAAAAAGACTTAAAATGTGACTTACGAGTTATGAAAACTGTAACTCGGCCATATCCCGCTAACTAGAGACTTTCTCCGTGTATTGAACTAATGAACTGGAATACAAGCCCTCCACACGTTGTTGTAGGAAGACTGCTAAAAACAGTAGATATTTCTAAGGTACAAAAGAGTCAGGAAACCTGGGCTCGATACCCAGTTTGTCAGAGCTGCCGCGTTGCTCTGGGCAACATTTTTGAGTTCTGCATTTTTGACTTATTGGAAGAATATGGTCATATCTGAGTACTGGTGTGGGGCTAAATTAATGTGAGCAAATGTAACTTTTGAAAACAAGGCCTGCCTAATAACTGCAGTATAACTTAAGAATTAAGCAGTCTGTGGAGCATAATTTTAAGGGGTGAGATACAAGGAGAAAAAGCACGATTTTCTCTCTCTGCGTAAACACCCTTGTTCATTCACCTCTGAACATGACTGCAGCAGCGTTCATCATCACCCCTGCCACGCTGGGTAGAAATGACGGGGTTTCCTCAAATCAGCATTTTTTTTTTTAATACAGAAGTGCCTTCTGTCTCTGGCTGAAAGTAGGTGCCCTTGAGGCTCGGGCGCTGCACTTAATGCTGGTCCTGTGCCAAAGAGCTCTTAGTCTAAATAAATCAAATGAACAGGGGTGGAAGGAAGCAAGTGTATTTATTTCTGTTTTGCACATAAAAATGGAGAGTTGGAAATTTTTGCTCAGTACATCACTGAGCTCACTGCCCTGGATTCCAGCGTGAGCTGAGGGCTCGCTGTTTCAGTTTTATTTGGGTTATATACTGATTACCTTAATCCTCTGCACTGTTGGCTCGTATTACAGCACAGCCAACAAGCCTATGAAAAACAAGCTGGCTTCAAGCACTCATTTAAGAGAAATTGTGGAAAAGGGTAAATGTTATAAATACAAAGCTTCTCGGCCCCGAACGTAATGTTACCCCATTAGCATTAAGGTCATGGGATCATGTCACTTCATCTATTCCCCATTAATTCAAAAGAAGTGATTAGTCATAGGAGCGATGCGGGTCACGATGTATTTCAGTACTGTTAATGTCTTTATAATTCTGTTGACGTCTGACCTGTTATCCTAGGACTTACCAATGTCTTCGCCTGGATTAGACAGACCTCCTGGAAATTTCCACGCATTTAGAGTCTGTTTTGGAGGAAAAAAAAAAATTAATGAAGTATGCAGCCTGTTTTGTACTCTCTAGTACAAAGGAGACAATTAACACGTGACTTTTCGTTGTTGAAGTTGCAGTATTGTAATTACTCTTACAAACATCAGTAAGGCTTTAAACTTCTTTGTTCTTGCTAATGTGATGATCAGAGATATCTACAGTCTGTATGAAATATTGGAACAAAACATCTACTGATTGAAAATACAAACTGTCTAACAGTCATTAGACAACGTTGCTGCTAGATAACTAGATAGAGTAGTTGAATATTAAAAAAAAGCTGCTATAGACTATATAACCTTATATTTAATCACTAATGTATTCCACTTCCATGGTTTTGGCTTTTAAAAATGTATATATATTTAATCTTACAAACAGGTATTATGATTGTAGTACTGTTCTATACTGCACTGGCTTTAAGATGACGTGTGTCTGTAATAACCATTCAGTGTAACTTGTCATTTGTTTTCATGGAATACAAAAATTGAGGCCTCGTGTGTGATTTATATATGGAAGCATTTATTGAATTGCAATAAAGTTCAGTACTAAAACCAGAATGTGAAGTGCAGACTTGGTGCTGTTATTGATAGTGGTGAAGGAGTCCCAGTTCCTACGCCTCTTGCAAATGCATAAAGATTTGTAGGCTTTACCTTTCATCAATGTACTGTTCTTTTTCCTTCTTTCCTTATTAAAAGTTTATGTTAAGAAGTTGTTAACCTTCAACTAGAAATTAACGCAGTAAAAAGGTACACTCTGGAAAAAAAAAAGAGGCAGCTTTTCTTGTATGTGCAGCATAGAGAGGGAAGTCGTGTGCTTTCCAGTGATTTGAAACCCCACCGACTACACTGGAAAATGTTTGTTTTCTGGGCACTCTTAAAGGGCTTGGATAGGAATTTAAAGTAATGGATTAAAAATAGCCCAGATGGAAAATACATACATTTGTCTGTTGGCTTTCAGATTTGCTTTCAGTTCCTGGAAATCTTTCTTTGTGGGCTGTGGAATTGTCCTTTCATGATTAAACCCAAACAGCTCTTAAAATTCTACTAGCTGTTTAATTTTTTTTTAAGCTTTTGGAACATAATTTGTATTAGAAGTCACCATATCAGGGAAACTGCTCACTTCGTGGGGAAGAAGGGAGAGGAGTGGTGGAACTGACAGTGGGAAACAGACACTGTCTGAGCCAATTTGCTTGCACTGGAATATTTGTTTACTGCGTAAGAAATCTATGGGTATTCACACACCTCAGTTCTTACACTTAATTTTATCTGCTCAAGACAAGAGAGTTGTAAAGAGGGGAGTCAGAAACAATCACTTTTTTCCTTTCACTTTCCTCACTCACTGTGGTCAGTGTCAGCTTTGTTCCCGAAAGGGAAGCTGAAATAGCTGACCTGGAACATACCCATCCCACTTTTCAGAATGAGCTGTGGAAGGAAGAGTGGTGCCAGGCTGGTCCTCTTGCATTTTGGGGCCAGAGGCTAAGGAGGTGATGTCTGGTGAGTGTGGAATTGGACCTAGAACCTGAATAGCGCATCGGCTGTCTCACTGTAAAAACTGGACAGAGGTATCTGCGCTTACAATGGCTGCGGGTGAGCTTTAACAAGCATTAAGAAGTCAAACCTTAAAGCCTCCCGAGCTTAGGAAACTGCTATTTCCTTCTAAATAGGCAGCATGGGCAATTTCCATTATTACTCTGAGACCTGTTTTAAGATCTTTACTAAAAGGTAAGCATGCAGTTTTGTAATTTCTTTGTGCATGAAAGGAAAAATAAAGGTACCATTTCTAAAGTTTACAATGTGCTGCTCTGTTCCTGGAGACTCACTAGAACTGGAACCGCTTTTGGAGCCTATAGCTTGCATGCTGGATTTATGCTTTAACTGGTAATTACTGAATATAAGCCTGAAGGTCCTGCTACAGAGAAGTCCTTGAGATTTTTACTTTATGGTAAGTAAAAATATAAAATTAATCGTTTACAGGAAACAAGAAAAGGGTGTTTCTCTTCCTCTGAACTCTTGAGTTACAAATTCAACATGTTGTATGATTGAACCTGCCTATGAAAGCACCCTTTCACTGATGTTCATTGTGTTGTAGTTACCAATGAACTGAAGCGATGTTTTGGGTCCTGGGAAGAAATCTCTTAGTAGCTATTTCAGGAAAGACAGAAAAATGTAGCCAGTGAGATTCTGGCATAGTTTTAACTATGTAAAATGAAAATGATGCATCCAAGTATACTTCAGTTAGCGTATGCAAGTTTTGATTGTTTCCACGTTAGAATTGCAGTTAATCTCACTGTACTAGAGACACTTTAATTAGCAAATGAAAGCATAAAGGGAGCTAAGTCTATTTTAAATGGCCTAGCAGAGGCAGCTGCTACTGAGCTAGCGAGCTTTCTGCACTTGCTGTATTAAAACCTAGGTTAGCCTGATAGAGGCTGGAAGACGTTACCAGTGATGGATGCTTGGTTACCTCAAGCCACATCACAGGAGCCACCATCGCCACACTAATGCTCTCTGGCTTGGCACTCTCGGTAGCAAAGTCAGGCGCTTCCGTTTGTGAGAAATTAATGATCTTTACACCTGCTGTACAAAGGGGGGCTCCAGGTCATGGCCAACCACGTTATTGCATATTTAAAGCCACAGATACGCCTGGGATTTTTGAAACCAAACAAAATCAGAAGAATTCTCCCAAAACCTGCTTTAAGCCATGGGGATATTCCAGAAGTCTGCATGGATCCAAACACAAGATCAGGGATTCTTGGGTCAGTTACAGGAGAAGACAGAAAACTCAAAGCAGAAAGGATGCTTAATTCTGCTGATTCAATCCCCAGTTATAATTAACAACAAAGCTGTTGATTCTCATAGTCGATTTTTTTTTTTTCCCTTCAAATGCAATACAGCGCTGTGTTGACAGATATGTTCCAAGACACAGACAAGTTAACTATCAGAATTCTGGACTGGAATGAAAAGAAAAAGATCATTTTATACTATGGGGTAGGCTTATCTAAATGAACTTCTCTATTTTATAATACTGTAACAAACTTACCCTATTTCTGTCTTGTACAACCAACACCTTTCCAGTGCTTTCATCTAAAACAGCACCTAGTACAGAGATAATTTTGACAAAGATTAAGTGTTAGACAACTACGTTCAATCTTAACAGCCATAATTTCACATGTTTTGATAAAGCATGACAAACCCCTAATGATACTCGACTTACAGTTAGTAAGATTTGTCTGGGCGAATCACAGAAAATGGTTTGTCGGTGGAAAACTGATACACAACAAAATATGAAAAAAAGGTTACGTATCCTGTATAGTATATATAATTAGTTAGCAGTACCAAGATAAATACTTCCCATGTTTAAATTCCAGATTAGACAAGAAGTGAAAAGAATAATTTGCTTGTGTTAATCTTACCAGAACTAAAGAATGCAAGATCAAGACATCTTCCAAATAATCTAGCACAGCTGCTTGCTTCAGCAAGAGATGTGCCTGTAATCTCGCTCAAATAACAGAAATTTTTCCAGTGACTCTGGCCAAGTAGCCACGATGGGCGAGAACCCTTCTCCAGTGAAATTCATGACCGAATTCCTGCCTGAGTGTTTTCTGGTTAATAACACACAAGGTTTAGTACTCCATGGGCTGACTGTACTGGTAATGTTCAACGGGTTGACTATCAACGCATACTGTACTACCCAGCTAACAACTCATGATAGGAACTGCACAGTAATCTGAGTCAATTTGTTAATCAAAAAGCATTGCTTCCAAGTGGAAAAGTGACGCTTTCACTTGATTCATACATCCTGGGTGTTTGGGTTTTTTTACTGAAAAGTTCAGCTTTCCCTTGTGTCATCATCTCAGCCCATGACTTTGTTCCCGCAGATTACAAGTTTTCCTACTTTTAAAATCCAAGTGCTTTCATGTTTAACCATCACATCACACTCATTGGTCATACTTTCAAAATGTCTTCCCTTTAAAACAGGTATTTTTCTCAGATTTTGAAGTGCGCTGTGGTGAGCAGAATGAGTACAGTGGTGCAACTTACCAGGCTCTTTCCCACATCAGTCATGCCTGGGTTTCAAATTAGTAGGTAATGACAAAAAAATGCTTATATCATTTTACAGCAGGAGGAAGAGTATATGGACAGCTCTGTGATGATATACGCATCTAAAATGCTATGGGGAAGTATTTCCACAGAAGGGAATTATTAAGGAATGAGTGCCCAGCTCAAAACATTCTCTGGTTTTTTAATAATACATGGCAGGCTTATGTGTAGGAGGACTATTTAAAAGATGAAATACCAATCTTCCTTCAAGATATGTCAAAGGATGTGCTTTAAGAGGGTAGTCACATATCTGACTCCCCATGGCTTATGACTTCACAATTTCATTCCGCCTGTAAATATTTAGCAGAGTCCAGGTCCAAGTACTGTACTGATTAAAAGAGGGAACAAAAGGAAAGCAGGAGCAACTTTGATGCATGCTGTGATTACAGGGATTATTTTCTAGAAAAGACATTCGCCAGCCAAATGGGTTGCTGAGACCAAGGAGGACTGCTGAAGAAAGGAAACTGCAGTTTGAATTAAACAGAAAGAACGTTTTTCTCTCCTCTGCTCCCCAGAAACCGCTGCCTGTGAATGTAATTTTTGGCAGTGAAATTCTCTGTGAGATATCCAGAATCTCTGCTAGATGATACCGAAATCCAAAGGAAGAAGAAAGGAAAAACACCATTGGGATTTGCTGTCTGGTCTCATTTTCCCAGCTGTAACTCAGGAGTCCCTGTGCTGAAGCTCGCTGGGCCAGCCCTGGTTAGTGTCAGGGAAATCAGAGCTTGGCTGCAGGCTCTGAACTGTGGTTTTGAAAACTCCCTCTTGCTACAAATGTGGTACCTGGAGCTTTAAATCATCCAGCGCCAGGATGACTTTCTGGAAAGGTTTACACTTGTAACCTAACCAAGTAATCGCTATTACAACACCGCTTTGTTTTGAATGTTCTCTTTTGGGAAACAGGTTAAGAAAATTATTAAAAAAAAAAAAAAAAAAAAACCTTAGACAACTCCAGACAATGAGTAACGGAGGGGAAAAAATATCTTCATTCTACCTGTTTTATTTATGACTGACGTAAACATGTATGAACAGATGTTCAGCATTGAAAAGCACGTGTCATCCACGTAATGAGCACACACGGCTGCTTGCATTGTAAACATCAGCAGACAGGAATAGTTATTACTTTGTAAAACAACTTGGGAACTGCCTTTAAATCACTTCTGATTCCTTGGACCATTATAACCTATCTAACTCCATCTTCCTGTGCAGTCTGACATTTACGCAGCTGCTCATTTTACACATTTCCTTAAGCAACAGGACTGGCCAAGGCTGATGATCACGTGTGTGTATGGGTGTGTGGAGACCCTTCTCCCTCTTCAACTCCAATGACTTTGTTTCAACAACTAGATTAAGGTAGGCAGCACTGAAAGTAACAGCCGTGTTGTAAGGCTCATACTACACGTGAGGGAGAAGAGAACGGCTTTTACTTTTCCTCCTCTCCTTTTACTTTCCTTCCTCAACTTGTCTTCCTATGACATCGTTACATGCCATATTTACAAACACGTCACTTTCTTTGGAAATGCTTTTCACAAACATCATAATCATTTCATACACCAGAAGATTTTCTGTACCTTTACATATTTGGAAAATCCTGCCGCCTACAAACGGATGCAGCAAGTTAGCTGGAAGACACATCACATATTCCACTATTTCTAAACAATAATGGCCAAGCCCAATGAGTAACGTTTGCTACTCTCTGCTTGGCGACTCTGATCTAGTCTGGCAAAATATGGCCTGACCTTGCTTATTCACACCTTTGTCATCACTTGGCTGGATGATGCCGAGGCACTCGTCCTGGCTGCGCAGCGTTCACTGTGTGGGAAACTCCAGACAGGACGAAAACCAGCTGCTGGTCTACTTGGCAACACAGGCTCGCTACCTGCCGTCTGCTCCCTGTGCTGGCTTCCCGCTGGCTAGCAAACCACTCTCAATGTCTCCGCTTTTTATTTTCAGGATGCTCGAGGGACTAAATCAGTATTTAACTGATTGGCCACAGCTTTGAGATGCAGACTCTCATCAGCAGATTTGCTTCTCTTTACTACAGAAACTTTCTAAAATACAGTTTTTTGTGCAGGAAATAAAAATGCCTAGGGTTTGGCCCATATACACGATACAAATGCACATATTTAAATAACTTAATATTTCGATAAAATTAATTAAAAATAGAATGAAGTCCTTCCACTACCCAGGGTCTCCCTCCTGAAGTAGAAAGATAATGGAATAAACATATGCCAGGTGGTATCCACACTGCTTAGTGTATTCTTGGAATGTGTTCGATCCACTGAGAGCGAGTGGAGCAGAGGGGAAAAAAAGAAAAATTGCAGTCATTATTTCACACACAGAAATCTGCTTGTTTACCTGCACAAATGCCTTCCTTACGTCTTTACCTCTTTTAAAGAAACTCCAATTAAAAAAATGTACAGGTTTGAAAAGTGGTAGCAAAGAATACATACATTATATGTTGTGCAGTTTTTAAATCTGTGCAAGAAATTATGAACTCCATACACCTGCATTTATGAAACTTTTTCTTTCCTCAAAGTTTTTTCCTACTTGCAGAGTGCCAAGCGTTTATCTCAAAGTGCAACAGCAAATTATGCTTTGAAAGTGCATTTTTTGATATTTTCAAATGTGTATTTGAGACTTTTTCAAAATTACGATTTTTCTTATATTAAATCCTTCCTGATAACCATCAGGGTCACAACACATCTATTAGATGCTTTTCCTCTAAACAGCACTTTCAGCTATGCAAAACCTACTTCAGAAAAATCCCCTTTCAGTTAATAATCTTTCCTCAACCACGCAAGTTGTAACTGTAAGGAGTAACACGGTGCTTTTTTCTAGGGAAATGCATTATCGTACTCGATTTTAATGCCACATATTTTAACGGTGAGGTTTTCATACCTCAGGAAAACATGCTCTAACATGTCCATTGAAAAAATCCAAGCCTGCCTTCAGCTTCTACGCTGCCCTCTGCTGGCTTTGTCACTGAAAACTCCCGCACCCAATAGAGGCAGCACTGCTCTGTAATTAAAGGCTTTGTTTTTCCAAAACTTACTTTCACCTGACCTGCTGCTACCTAGAATAATCCAGCTTTTATGAGTCCTTCCTAAGCAGATTTTTTTCAAATTGCTATTTATGGGTCTTAACACCACTTTGGTGAAGAATTAACCTCCCTGCAAGTCAAGAACAAACTAGTCAAGCTTCTAACGGGAGAGATTTACTGTCTCTCTGCTCTAACTGCTGAGCCTTAACATAGCCTTTACCAGATTGCGAGGGGTACTTGGCACTGCTCCAGATTACAGGAGATTACTGAGTGATGGGACAGGTAACTGCCTATCTGTGGAAGACTGTTGAGAGGGCAAAACCATTCAAAGCTGGTGAAGCTGAGTTCAAGTTGACTCATCACCAGTTCCTTGTACCGCGCTGTATAATAAAAATGGGACACCATCTTATCTAGTTCCTTGGGAATTTCCTCAGTTTTTAGAGCAAATCCTTTCCAGCTGTGGTTGTGGGAGGTCTAGATAGGCAAGAGTACGGTATCCAGATGTTTGTTTGTAAAATATACTTGTTTGGGTTGTGGACAACCTCTGTTGGGTCAACTTTGCCCCTTTTACAAACCTTAACTTGAGTGATAGTTTATGCAGATGCATATATTAAGCATCTACAGTAAGGACAGGGAGCAGAGAAATTATTTTTTTCCTAAGAAGTTTGTAGTTACTTTTTTACTTTTAAAAAACTGCTTGAACCTTGAAATCCTACCTCTCTCACCTGCAAGGTGAAAGCCAAGACACATTTCTCAAAATTTGTGAGGTAAACTTTAAAGCTTCAGGACCACGCTTTCTTCTCCCTGAGCTGTTTACCATTTTCTCAAACTGGAATAGTTTTGAGAAGCCTCTGTCTTTGTTGGCCTGCTTTTAGGAACACGCATGGCGGTACAGGTGCATTCATGAACAACACGCTTTACTTTACATGTAGCTGGTTTCCATACGCTGGTCGTGCAAGAGGACCAGCTGGTTTTCTACCACACCTGGTCCTAGAGACTCGTTCAAAAGGCTTTTCATGGGTCCCACTGCTTTTGTAACTAACCTGCAACACCCAGCTGGTGGGTGGCGTACCCCGGGAGCCTGCTGGG